AACTGTGTCTTCCATTGTTCCATCAATCTTTGTGCATTATTTCTGGCATTTCTGCTGACTCCTGTTATTTCTAGGCACTTGATTATTATTGCTATTTACTATATAGCTATTTATTTAACTCCAGGATTAGAGGGAAAAAACTATTTTTTAAACCAATTACATGAAGGGAGTTCATAGGGAACTCAGCAAGTTAACGAGTCTATCAAAACAAATGTGCTTAAAAACACTGAACGAGAACTTCACTCTCAGATTTTAAAGACTCTTTTGATTAAAATTTATAAAATATGAATCCAAACAGGAGGTCAACAGGCATGAGTGACCATGAAAAAGGCCTCCCAGTCCCTGCTAGAAACTAATAGCCACATCTTTAATATCAATGGCTACTTCCAAGTTGATCACTGGACTCTCACTGGCATTAATGAAACATAAAACTACAGATGATTATTGCTGATTATAAAATATTTTCCATGATTTCCAATCATTTAATGGACAAGCCCTCTCCCATGTCATCATTTTTAGGAAATCACATCACATTTAAAAAGGGCCCAAAATCAAAATAAAAGTTCCAAATAACTACATTAATCAGAGACTGTGCCTTGTTATATTTTCTCTACAATTCAGATTAGGTCTGAATAGGATAATGAAGCATTTGGGGAAAAAGATACAAGCCAAGAGACCAGCCCCAGAGGCCAAGATGGAGGAGATCTCCACGGCCACCATGGACTTCCCTTTGGTGCTTAGATAGGTGGGGAGGAATGAGATCCAAACACTGCAAAAAACCAGCATGCTAAAAGTAATGAACTTGGCTTCGTTAAAGCTGTCAGGCAATTTCCTAGCCAGAAACGCCACAGTGAAACTGATGAGAGCCAGGAAACCCAGGTAGGTGAGAACAGTGTAAAACATGGAAGCTGAGCCTTCATTACATTCCAAGATGGCCTCTCCTACCAAGGAATGAAAGTCCAAGTTGGGAAATGGGGGAGAGGTTACCAGCCAGATGGTGCAAATAATTGCTTGAATCAGGGGACAGGATAAGACAATGGAGTTGGTAAGTGGTTTTCCTAAGAGTTTCCTTGCACTGTTCCCTGATTTGGTAGCCATGAAGGCCAGAACCACCATGACAGTTTTTGCCAAGACAGAGGAAACCGCAAGGGAAAAGAGAATGGCAAAGGCAGTTTGTCGGAAGAGACAGGTGAGCTTCCCAGGTTGACCAATGAAGAGGAAGGAGCAGAGGAAGCAGAGCAGGAGGGAGACCAGGAGGATGTAGGTGAGGTCTTGACAATTGATGTGTCACGATGTTTAAGGAATACCACTAAGATAGCAGATGTCAACATGGAGAGAGAAAGTGCTAAAGAAACTAAAGTGTATCCCAGGGTCTCTTCATAGGCAAGGAAGTGGATCTTCTTGGCAATGCAATGCACCAGAACAATAGGAACATATCACCTTGTGGGTTCAAAGGGTCTAAAAACAAGAGGAGGTGCCTGAATTCTGAGATATCTACAGTGTGGTCCCTAACATGCAAAGCCCCATGCAAGGGCTTTAGAGCTTGCCAGATACCTACACCTTCCACTACACTAAGTTTCCAAGAGGAAGTTAGGATCTGAACATCCTGAAGTGTTCCCCTTTCATGAATTACATAAAGACTCAGGAGCTTCTGAAATCTGCAAAGAAAATAATAACAGTCCGACAACAGTCAATAGAATACACGTTCTTGCACAGGAACAGGAAGCTCACATGCAAAACCCAAGAGAAGGTATAAAAAAACCCCACTCTCAACTCCATGTGGTCAGCTGACCCAGGACTGCTGTTGGTTCTGTTCATCATTAAACCATCTTTCCAATCAGCCTCCATGTTTCCAGCGTCTTCCTCCCGGCTTGGAACTGAACCAGATGGATATTTCTTCCAACAGGATGGAAAAGGCATTGGTTGTGATTTTAGATGAGGTTTGGTAAGAGTGGGATGAGCGTAGTGCATCCATCGTGGCTCAACTTGACCTCTGGGTGTTCTTCAACCTCATTGACCATGGTTTCCTTCTCTAACGGGTCCATGGAGTGGGAGTGGGTGGCACTGCAGTCTGCGGTTCCTTTTCATCTCTATGGGGCAGATGACCATCAGCCTTGACTGGGAGAGAGAGGTCCCACCCTTGGCCGCTGTTTGGCAGGCAGCCGATGGAAATAATGCAGCCTGAAATGGGCTAAGACAAGTTTTGTAGTAAGTCCGTTTCTGAAGATGGACACAGGAATGTGCAAATGAATAAATGAATCATGATCATTGCTTGGCATTTCTCTTTTCTCTTTTAGAAGGTGCCCTTTGCCAGGTGTGGCATGAATTTTTCTCCCCTTTTTTTTTAATTTTAAATTTTAAATTAAAATTTTAATCTGTTTTAAATTTATTGGGATTTTAATTGTCGTGGGCCAATATTATTTAATTTGGTTTTAAATTGTTTTTACCTTTTGTATTTCTGTATTTTATCTTGTGCCTGTTCACCGCCCTGAGTCCTTCGGGAGTAGGGCAGTATACAAATTTAATAAAATAAATAAATAAATAAATAAATAAATAAATAAATAAATAAATAAATAAGAGGTGCCATTTCATTTCATTTCATTTTTTTAGATTTATATACCACCCTACTCCCAAAGGACTCAGGGCAGTGAACAGCCAAAAGATAAAACACACATATAATACAAAATTTAAAAAAACAATATAAAAATACATTAAACAATTTGGCCCAAACAAATTAAAACACCCCTATTGTTTTAAAACAAATTTAAAATTAACAATTAAAAGAAAGTTAGGCCAGGCCAGCCTGTTGAAATAAAAAGGTCTTGAGGGCACGGCGGAAAGTGCGTAAATCCGGGATCCTCCGTATCTCTGGGGGGAGCGCGTTCCAAATGGCAGATGCCCCCACAGAGAAGACTCTTCCCCTGGGGGCCGCCAGTCGACACTGTTTGGCCGACGGCACCCTGAGGAGCCCCCCTCTATGGGAGCGTACTGGCCGGTGGGAGGCTACTGGTGGCAGAAGGTGGTCCCGTAAGTACCCAGGCAGGAGAGAGGAGAAGAGGGCCAGAGGGAGAGCAGGTTTGCTGCTACCAATGTTCCCCTTGCCCAGAAGGGACCGTTTCTAATCAGACAGGTAGAAAACCCTTCAAATGCAGATCTTCTAAAGTCAAAGAAGTCACTCAGTGGGTCAAAATATTTGTTGTTGTTGTCGTCATGTTTGGTAAGATTGTCCTGCTTGAAATTATTCATAGTTTTCTGTAGAACCTTTCAGTTTGTGGATTTAAACTGTCCTTCTGCAAAGATTACATGTCTTGGTGCTCACCAGTTTAAAGCAGAGCAGTTTCAGGATAACAATCACAGGTTTCCTACGAGTTTTTCCACTCCTATTGTCGAATAAGATTGGGAAAACAAACTTCCATCTTTTCCTGAAGAACTGAAGTTTGTGCTTCAAGTTATTTCTGAGCAGAGGGTTGGACTAGAAGACCTCCGAGGTCCCTTCCAATTCTATTATTCTCTGTTACTTGTTGATCTGTCACATACACTTAATGAATTTATTGTCAACCCTGAAGCTGACCTGGCTGAAGCCATCTTGGAGCTTCAGTGCTGCCACACTGGAGCTGAGGGATAGGGAAGGGGGAATCAGAGATAGCTGGGGTTGTGTAGTCAAAATAAAATACTTTCTCTTGGGAACCAAGGATGTTCTCACACCTGGCTGGAGGAAGCAGAAGGATGTTGCCAGGCCATGTGACTGATTGGTTGGATTTCAGGGGAAAACTTTTACTTTTAATTAGGTGAAAACCAAAGGGCCCCTCAGAGTCGGTTTTCACCAGATAGGTGCCAATTTGATATTTCCAATAAAGCTATTCCTTGAGGAATTCACCTGCCTCGGAGTTTTTGCTTGCAATGGATTTATTACTTGGAACCCTGGCATTTATTTATTTTTGTACTCTATAAAAAGACTTGACACCCTATCCCCCCCCCCCAAAAAAAGCTTTTGGCTTTGCCTGAATTCCTTGATGGTTTCTATTTTCGGGTAGGCAGATAAACCAAATTTACAAAGGTGACATATTTTTCTCTTCCAAGCTCAGGGAATAGGTCTTCGCCTCCACACAAACTCAGGTTCCTGGGCCTCTCGAGAACAAGAACAAGGGGAAGGAGCTCAGGATGAGGCAAACCTCTTTGTGGTTGTGTAAGAACTCTCAGTGAGGCCCCAGGAGGAAGAAGCTGGACAGAGCTGAAGCCCAGGAGGCAGAGAAAGAGGCTAACTCAGAGATAAACTGCTCGGACGAGAAGAGGCAAACAGAAAGGAGGAAGCAACTGAGGAAAAGAAGGAAAGAGAGACGTTGATTGCCTCTCCTCAGAACCTGCATGAGGGAAAAGTCCTTCTGGTAAATGTCTATGGAGATTCTCAGTCCTCCAGGTCATGGTTGTTCCAAAGATGCTTTTTTAAGAGGCAACTGGACTTTCTGGAAGTTTTTTTTTTGAAGATGTTTTGCTTCTCACCCAAGAAGCTTCTTCAGTTCTAACTGGATGGTGAGAATTCCCACCATCCAGTCAGAGCTGAAGAAGCTTCTTGGGTCAGAAGCAAAACATCTTCAAAGAAAAACCAGAAAGTCCAGTTGCCTCTTGAAAAAGCACCTTTGAATCCTTCCAGTAATTTCCCTCAGATGGAACCAAGAGTTGGAAGAGGAGAAGGAAACAAGCAGAAAAAACAAAAAAAAATTAAAGACTTTGACAGAACAGGAATAGAAAACAGAAACCACAAATAGATGAAAAAACCAGATTGGATTCTGAAGAAAAAGAGTATATCTCTCCCCCGCCCCAAAATCAGAATCAATTTATCCAAAATCAAAATAAAACTTCCCAATCCCTGCATAAATGGGGGTGTAATGAGGCATTTCAATGGGTTTTATGCTGTGATTTTTAATGTTATAATCTAGCCGGAGTCACCAATGCGTAAATTGGATAGCAATATAACTATGTTTCATAAATAAATAATAAAATCAGAGATTCTTGTGCCTCATTATATTCTCTCTACAATTCAGATTGGGCCTAAATAAAATAATGTAGCATTTGGGGAAAAAGATGCAAGCCAAGAGACCAGCCCCAGAGGCCAAGATGGAGAAGATCTCCACGGCCACCATGGACTTCCCTTTGGTGCTCAGGTAGGTGGGGAGGAAGGAGATCCAAACACTGCAGAAGACCAGCATGCTAAAAGTAATGAACTTGGCTTCATTAAAGCTGTTGGGCAACTTCCTAGCCAGAAAGGCCACCGTGAAACTGATGAGAGCCAGGAAACCCAGATAGGCCAGGACAGCATAAAATATAGCAGTTGAGCCTTCATTACATTCCAAGATGGCCTCTCCTATCAAGGAACGGAAGTCCATGTTGGGAAATGGGGGAGAGGTTACCAGCCAGGTGGCACAAAGAACTGCTTGGACCAGGGGACAGACTGAGACAATGGAGTTGGTCAGTGGTTTTCCTAAGAATTTCTTTGTCTTATTCCCTGGTTTGGTGGCCATGAAGGCCAGAACCACCATGGCAGTTTTTGCCAAGATAGAGGAAACTGCGAGGGAAAAGAGGATGGCAAAGGCAGATTGTTGGAAGAGACAGGTGAGCTTCGCAGGTTGACCAATAAAGAGGAAAGAGCAGAGGAAGCAGAGCAGGAGGGAGACCAGGAGGATGTAGGTGAGATCTCGGTTGTTGGCCTTGACAATCGGTGTATTGTGATGCTTAAGGAAAACCACCAGGACTGCAGATGTGGTCACAGAGAGAAAAAGAGTGAGAGATGTTAATGAGTATCCCAGGGGGTCTTGATAGGAAAGGAAGTGGAGCTTCTTGGCAATGCAGTGGTCCTTGTCCTTGTTGGGATATTGGTCTTCTGGGCAAGGATCACAGAGAGCTGCATCTGAAATCAAGAGTCGGTGTGAATTTCATGGTGAATCAACACAGGCAAATCATCCATCCATATTGACAATGCTGGGAATAAATTAGCCAGAAAAACAGATCTGTTCTCTGGCTCAACTTCTCTGCTTTATTCTTCAAATCCAGTCATTCAATCTTTTTCCTTAGTAGAAAGTCTATAAATTTTGCCGTGAAAAAAACTGATATTAAATTGTTGGGGAGCAGGAAAAGTGGCCTTTGGGGTAGCACAGCTTAGATTCATGAACTGAGAGGGTCTGCTGAATATATGAATATATTGAATCATATAAAAGATCCTACCAAAACTGATGCCAAAATTAATATTTTCCCATTGAATGACTTCCTTGAAGATCTACACTTGACGTGTGCTGTACCTGTCTGATTAGAAATGGTCCCTTCTGGACAAGGGTCACATTGATAGCAGCAAACTTCCTTGCCTTCTGGAACCCTCTTCCTCTCTCCTGCATGGCACCTCTTCATGCCACACCTGGCAAAGGGCACCTTCTGGAAGAGAAATATTTGAAATGGCCTAAGTAATAAACGTGCTTCATTTGTCTATTTCTGCATTTCTCTTTCCATCTTTAGAATGTCTTCAAAAGAAACGGTTTACCAGGGCCTACGAGAGGGATAATCTCCAGGGGGAGTCAGGCCAGTGGCAATGCTGACCCTCCAGAATGGATGCTGGAGATTGGAACTGAGACCTCAAAATACAAGGAAGGCTTGTGACATGGAGCTACAGCTTTTCGAAAAGAAAGAATCGTGAGGATCAGACTGAATGGGAATCATTTTTGCTTTAATGGGCTCCTGGGTTCCAAGCAGGAGTTCTTCATAAATCTTACACCCTCTTGGACTTTTCAGAAGTCAAATTGTAAATGTGTTAAAGTCAAAAGCAGGTTTTTCATCAAATCCCTGAATTTTTTTCTGACTGTCAGGTGTGCTTCCTTCAAAATCCAGGAAAGAATGACCCAGACTCCATGTTTTATAGAGAAAGGTACTTTTACTAGAAATAAACTGAACGCAACCACGGCTAAGCTGAAATTAAAGCAATAGGCACGAAAAGTGCATATAGAAAGCATCCCCTCCCACTGTCCATCGTAAATCATCCAATCCAAAGGTCTCCCAGGGTCAGGTGGAAGCATGTCTGGCAGCGTCATCAATCAGGAATGCCATGACAGTTCATCCGATAGCCCCTTCAGGGATTCGGTTTTGTTTCTTCTGAAGCCACGCCCCCCTCCAGCACGCTTCCCCCCCAAGCTCCCCAGCTGTCCCCCCTCCCAGTTCCTATGGCAGCCAAAGCAGCAAAAGCGGAGGCTGACACTGACTGAATAGACCAGTTTCCCAGTTAAAAGGGGGTTATGCATCCCCTGGAGCGAATGACTCCTTTGCTGAATTTATAACATTTCCTTCCAACTCACCTTTGTGACCCAGATGATGTCATTGGAGTTAATGGTAAAATCTTGTCCTGGGGAAGCCATGAGATCTATTTCTCCAACTTTGGTGGTGACAAAAGATTGATTGGGGAGGAAAAGCCAGTTGAGAAGATCGTAACGAGAAGAAACTAATCCACTTTCTGAGAAGGAGACTTCCTCTCCAGCACTGTTGTTGAACTTGACGTTCCTCAGATAGGGAAGAAGCTGAAAGAAAAGACAGCCGGATTAATTGGCTGAACACCACACATGAGACACCCTGGTTTCTATCATAATGTGATGGCCATCAGCCTAGGAGATGGGTCTATACCTGAGAAGCTAAATGAATTCCCTTGATGGAGATCTAAGCAATCAGAAGTAACATCAGATATTCAACTCCCTCCTTAAAATGACAAGACATTCTCTTTATCATTGGACATTTGTATCATGGCTTCTTCAATTCCAGTCTTACAAGGATGATAGCTACATACAAATATTACAAATTACATTGTGTAGTTTTTCCTCTGTGATACTCGGCAAGTTATATTTTTTATTTTATTTGGGCCCACATTCTTGTAAATGGCAAGTGCATTTTAAGAATGATTAAATAACTTCTATGGGGTCCTTGGTTCTCTCTGAGCCTGGTTGTTTTCTTGCAGACGTTTCATGACCTAAACTGGGTAACGTTGAAAGTGATATCCCTCCCTTCTGGCACTGATGATGCTACCTAGTTGGGTCATGAAATGTCTGTAATAAAACAGCCAAACTGAAAAGAGCACCAAGGACCCCTCATTTCAACCCTGAGCTATAATATTCTCCTTTACTGGTAAATACTTTCTATCATAAAATCCTACAATTCCCCTGACTTTCTCTAGCTGATGGTCAAAGAGAGCAGAATGAAGAAGGAGATCTGACCAAGAGGGGCCACGTAGAAGGTTTGTCCTGCCCTGGTTTGTCACTTCACTGTCCAGAGAGGAATAATTGAGCCTTTGGTGTTGAAAGACTGAAGAATTTCAGATCAGGAACCCATTAGGACCATATATTGGGTCTTCTTCTGCATTTGCTGAGCTTGACAGAGGCTGAACACAACAAACGAAGCAGTACAAGAAACTGCGTACTAAAAAATTGGCACGCAATAACAAACATTTCCAAGGCACAATAATCTAAACCAACATTAAAATGAATTGAGTGTCCTTTTACAGATTGGATTCAGGCTACTGACTGAGAGAAAGTGAGGAGGTTCTACAAAAATTATTTTTAATAATGGCTGTCTTAATCCCTTCTTAGATACATTGATAGCACACAGATATTTAATCAAGAATAATTCAAGAAATGCATATAGGGAGTTTCCTACCTAGAGATCTCTGGACTAGATAAAAACTCACTGAGTTTACCTGCCATAACTGAATATTTGAGATCCTCTTTCTGAGCCTCATTGTGGTTGGTTGTCCTCCAGATCTGTATATTGCATGCAATGCATGTCCCACAGCATAAACAGCATTGTAGATGTTGTAACTTTCATCTTCCATGCTTGTTTCAAATAAAAAAGATGGTAGATTCTGTAAATTCTCTTTTCCTGTACATTTCTTTCCCCAGTTTCGAGTGATTTTGCCTGGTTTATGGAACCTGCAGCCAAACAACATTTCCCAACATTGCAGGAGAAAGAGGTCCCCTTGTGGCTTCAAGGGGTCTAAAGACAGGAGGAAAGGACTGAATTCTGAGACATCCCCAGTGTGGGGCCTAAAATGCAGAGCCCCATGGAAGGGCTTTACTGCTTTCAAGATGTTTTGATTCCTGGCCACAGTAAGTTTCCAATGGGAAGTTAAGATCCAAACTTTCCAAAATGACATCTTCCTCAAATGTTCATGGACACTGATTGCCACCTGTACATTTTTGATACTATTGGGGTCTCCAAATAGAACAATCACTTCAGCTTTAGACCAAGTCTCCACAATATGAAGTAATTTCAGCATTGTAGTATCAAGAAAATCTGATTTCATTATTTCAGTGAAGGCCAAACAGATCTCCTTCTCCTTCAGCATTGGCATCAGAGATGAGACAAAACGTTCTCCACTCTCATCTTCAGGGGCAATAATCCCAACCCAGTTCCACTGGAAATGCAGAAGCAGCTGGACTAAACCCACACACTCAGCAAAGTCACTGGGATTGATCCGGAAGAAGGAAGGATAAATTATTCTGTCTCCCTGAGTGAACTCAAAGCCAACACCGAGCTGGAGAAAGTGAGATTCTTGATATTAAATTTTAGGGGTAATCATTATTTGGATTATGTCAGAAGCCAATGGAACCATACATCAAATCAATACAGAGAATATACTACACTACACTCTTATGAAGAATAGATTAAGAAGAAATTCCTCTTGGCAAGTACCACATTTCAAAGTTATCTCACTGATCAGTTTTGGCTTCTATAAAAACATATCATGACACAAAAAATAGAACTATATGTCCCCCAAAACACCCCCTTTGTTTTCCACCTTTGGCTTCTGGATGTGCTATAGTTGTGTTTGTACTCTCTACTGTATCCAGTGAAGCCCCCTTACCTGTGGGACCTTGAAGAGGCTGAAGATGGAGGCCATCTGCCTTGAGGATCTGGGAGTGAGATCTCCAATGACAGAGAGAAGAGGGTCCTTCCTGTCACATTTGTACCCTGGAACCATTCGGTCTCGGGTGGAGAGCAGGGAGAGGCTGTTTGAGCAAATCTCCACCTCCGACTGAGAATTGCTATGGATGTGGAAGCCAAGGGTGATGTTGGGGAGGAGAACTATATCCTTGTTGACCTCTCTGACTGCAAACACCAAGGCGCTGAACTGCTGGTAGTTCTTGGGTATCATTCTACAGTGAGAAAATCATTGGGGAAATTTTAAGGAGAGCTTGTGGGTGCTGGTGGAGTTTGTTGTGTCTTTTTAAAAAATGTTCTTTGTAGCAGGAAGTTTCAAAGTCCATGGGGTTTGATTCATTGTTAAGGCTGTTCCTTGATTAATGGCCTTGAGAGAAAGGAGCCTTGGTAGTACAAGGGTTTAAGGCACCCTGTTATTAAGCTGCTTAAGACCAGCTGCCTGCAATTACTGCAGGGTTCGAATCTCGCCAAGGCTCAAGGTTGACTCAGCCTTCCATCCTTTCTAAGGTAGGTGAAATGAGGACCCAGTTTGTGGGGGCAATAAGCTGACTTTGTATAAATATACAAAAGGATGAAGGCTATTGCTGAGCACATTGTAAGCCCCCCTGAGTCTCCGGAGAAGGGCGGCATATAAATCAAAATTAAAAAAAAAAAACAACAACGAGAAAATCCTGTTTCTCCATTCCACAGATCATTTGATACCCCTCCATCAGCCTCCCTCCTTCCTTCACTTTGCTTCAGTGATGGTCATCCTTCCCTCTTCCACCCCAATTAATTTCTTTCCCTCTTGAAGCAGCTTCTTCAGGTCTAGAAACCACTGTCTTCCACACATTAAATGGGTTTGACCTCATCATTGAGTTTTGCATCAGGAGTTCCTGTCCAAATTTATATTGTAAGTCAACTTCTTCATTAGTCCAGCACAGTTTCTAAGGTGTTGTCCTTCCTGACTTTTTTGGCGGTTTATTTGCTTCCTGATCAAGAGTTCTGGAAAGATGGAGGATTCTAGACTGTTTTATGAGTTTGGTTCTTTATTGAGAAAAGCACAAAGATCTGAACTATGGTAGGACATTGCAAACGTCACTAGAACAAGTGTTTCTGAAAAGAGTCCCTGAATATAAAGCAAAGAAAATAATTATTTACATCTTTCCCCTTTGGGTGAAACTTACAAAATATTCTCCAGAAGTAGAGATGGGTTTTCTTGAAAGGATTGGAAGTTGATTTTAAGTGCAGTTCCCAGGGGAACGTTCCCACCAATAATGAAATCACCAGGCCTGTAAAAGTCTCTCCTAGTCTGGAAAGTGCTTGTCAACACACACCCAGTTTGCACCCTCTTAGAAATAGTTGGAGAAGTTGGAGGCAGGAGCCAGAAGAGCAGCAGCAGCAGGAGGAGAGGCAGTCCCATCATTCTTCTCACCTTCCCTCCTAGATAAAAAAAATGTTTTTGTTTTTTTTGCAGAAGTTGAAATCACAGCAGAGCTTTAGCACAAGAGAAATAATCTGTGCTACCTGGATGGCCCCAAGGCCAATTTAGATCCAGCCATGTTTCGTCTTACCTGTGTTTGGTTTATGACCAAAGAGTAAACTGAGGCCAGCTGAGTCTCAGCAAACCACAAAGTTGGCTTTTTGCAACACAAGGCAAGATGACATATCCTGCCCCCACCAGGAGAACTCCGAGTATCTAATTTAAAGCATCTTTTATCTCGGAAGATTTTTTTAATGTAGAAATCCATAGGGGATACATTAGAAATTACTGTTCTTCTTATAATTGCATGGAAAAGCAATTGTTCTATTTACTGAGCAATAGCTACTCTTCATACAGCAGATGGAGAAAAGTGAGTTTGGGTCTCCTGTTGTTAATCCACAGATCAGATGCAGTTGAGAGTCAAGGCATTTGAATTATGTGGAACTGAGCCTTAACAGATTGACAGAGTTGGAAGGGACCTTGTAGGTCATCTAGTCTAACCCCCCATCCAAGCAGGAGACCCTACACCATTTCTGACAGATGGCAGTCCAGTCTCTTCCTGAAAGCTTCCAATAATGAAGCTCCCACAACTTCTGAAGGCTGTTCCCTTGGTTGATTACTCTCACTGTCAGAATTTTTCTCTTATTTCCAGGTTGAATCTCTCCTTGATCAGTTTCCATCCATTATTCCTTGTCTGCCCTTCGGGTTCTTTGGGAAATAGCATAATAATAGTGATAATGATAATAATAATAATAATAATAATAATAATAATAATAATAATAATAATAATAATAATAATAATAATAATAATAATAAGTTTTATAAGAGTTTAGAAAATGGAAACGGAGTAAGCACAAATGAAAAGCCTGATAAAGAGAAAGCTCTGAAATTCTGGAAAAATTTGTGGGAAAACAACAAGAAGCACAACAGAAATGCAAAATGGATCAAACAGGTTGAGGACTCTATTAAAGTGCATAAAATGGAAGATGTGAAAATAACAAAAGCAATGGTGCAAAGACAGTCAAGAAAAGTGAAGAACTGGAGTGCACCTGGACCGGATGAGCTGCATGGCTTCTGGTTAAAGGCACTTACAAGTCTGCACAAAAGATTGGCAACCCAGATGAACCAGATCCTAAAAACACCTGAAAATTTATTTATTTATTTATTATTTGAACTTCTATACCGCCCTTCTCCTTTCGGACTCAGGGCGGTGAACAGCCAAAATAAAAAACATTTATACATAAAGTACAATTAAAAATAGATTTAAAATAATTAGATAAATTTGGCCCATAGTTTAAAAATTTATCAGTTTAAAATCCGTATCAACTTTTAAAACCAACCCTAAAATCAAGACAGACCGGCTAACTGAAAAAAATAAGTTTTTAGGGCCCGACGAAAAGTCCGGAGGTCGGCGATCACTCGTATCACTGGGGGTAGATTGTTCCAAAGGGTAGGTGCCACCACAGAGAAGGCCCTCCCCCTGGGGGTCGTCAGCCGGCATTGTCTGGCCGATGGCACCCTGAGAAGTCCCTCTCTGTGGGAGCGAACTGGCCGGTGGGAGGCTATTGGTGGCAGAAGGCGGTCCCGTAAGTACCCCGGCCCTAAGCCATGGAGCGCTTTAAAGGTGATCACCAACACCTTGAAGCGTACCCGGAAGTCCACCGGAAGCCAATGCAGCTCGCGCAGGAGAGGAGTCACATGGGAGTGTCCCGTCGCTCCCATAATCCCCCGCGCGGCCGCATTCTGCACCAGTTGGAGCCTCCGGGTGTACCCCAAGGGGAGCCCCATGTAGAGAGCATTACAATAGTCCAGATGAGAGGTGACGAGTGCTTGAGTGACTGTGCATAGGGAGTCCCGATCCAGAAAGGGGCGCAACTGGCATATCAGGCGAACCTGATAAAAAGCCCCCCTGGCCACAGCCGTCATATGCCCTTCTAAAGACAGCCGTGCGTCGAGGAGGACGCCCAAGTTGTGGGCCCCTTCCGTGGGGGCCAGTGATTCACCCCCAATAACCAGCGATGGCATCAGCTGGCTATACTGGGACGCCGGCAGCCACAGCCACTCGGTCTTGGAAGGGTTGAGTCGAAGCCTGTTTCTCCCCATCCAGACCCGCACGGCCTCCACTCCACTCTCAATGCTACCACTGACAATCATTTTGAAGAAGATGAACTGTGGATACGAACTTGCAAAGAAAGGACTGAAAATCTCGCACTTGATGTACATGGATGATTTGAAGCTGTTTGGTAAAACAAAAGCTGAACTGAATTTATTAATTGAACACACAAAAGAATTCAGCCAAGACATTGGTATGCAGTTTGGAATTGACAAATGTGCAACAATAGCAACCAAAGCAGGCAAGATCATAGAAGAGGATGGAATAGAACTAGAGAATGAAGAAATGATAAAGGCAGTAAAATCAGAAGAAGGCTACAAGTACTTGGGGATTTTAGAGGCTCTGACTTAATGCATAATAAAGTCAAGGAATCAACTTCAGCCAAGTACATTTGGCAAATTCGTAAGATATTAATGTCCAAATTGAGTGGAGGAAACATCATAAAAGCCATAAATGCCTGGGCTATACCTGTGATTAGATACTCTGCAGGAATAATTGACTGGACCCAGATGGAGTTAGACAACTTGGACAGAAAAACAAGGAAGCTTATGACAATGAATCATGCCTTGCACCCTAAAAGTGATGTTGACCGATTATATTTACCAAGAGCAGAGGGTGGTCGAGGACTCCTACAAGTAAAGCAGACTGTGGAAGAAGAAAAATGCAGCTTGAATGATTACATCCAGAAAAGTGAAGAACCAATGATTAAGGAAGTAAATAAAGGAGGCCTTTTAAAGACAACTAAAACAAAAGCAGAATATAAGAAAGAAGTAATTGAGCAGCGAGCTCAAAATTGGAAACACAAAGCTCCGCATGGCCAATACTTGAAAAGTATTGAAGGCAAAGTTGACCAGAAACTAACTTGGAACTGGTTAAGATCAGGAGTACTGAAAAAAGAAACAGAAAGCTTTATTTTGGCAGCTCAAGAACAAGCCCTAGCCACAAACTGCATGAAGGCAAAAATTCAACATGTTACCACCAACAGCAAATGCCGCCTCTGCAATGAGAAAGAAGAGACAGTTGACCACCTGATCAGTGGGTGCAGCAAAATTTCACAAACTGACTACCTACAATGCCATGACCGTGTTGCTAAGATCATTCACTGGAAATTGTGCCAGAAGTTTGGATTTGAGTACAGCAAAAACCACTGGGAACATCAGGTTGAGAAAGTTTTAGAGAATGAGAAACTCCAGATCTTGTGGGACTTTAGGATTCAGACTGACAGGCACTTGGTCCACAACACACCTGACATAACAATAGTTGAAAAGAAAAAAGTATGGTTCATTGACATTGCAATACCTGGTGATGCATGGATTGAAGATAAGCAGCAAGAAAAAATCACAAAGTACCGGGATTTGTAAATTGAAGTTGAGCGACTGTGGAAAAAGAAATCGTGTGTTGTCCCGATTGTAATTGGAGCCCTTGGAGCGATACCCAAAGGGCTATCCCGCTATTTAGAAATTCTAAATTTGCCGGACTTGAACATTTTGACTCTACAAAAAACCACCTTACTCGGAACAGCTTACATCCTCCGACGATACCTTAACAGTTCCTAGGTCCTTGGTTAGGACTCGAGCTGCTGAGCTATTAACCAGCCTCAAAGGCTGTGAATCTCACTAAAGATTAACCAATAATAATAATAATAATTTTATTTCTATACTGCCCCTCTCCCGAAGGACTCGGGGAGGTGTACAGCCTATTAAAACAAAAAATATACAAATCTCAAAATTTAAAAAATATTAAAAATATTACACAATTTTGGCCCGGATTAAAACCCCCAATTTAAAATAATTACATAGTTAGCCCTGCCTGGCGAAACAGTAGGGTCTTAAGGGCACAGCGAAACACATGGAGGTTGGAGATCTTGCATATTTCCGGGGGGCAGTTTGTTCCAAAGGGCAGGGCTCCCACAGAGAAGGCCCTCCCCCTGGGTGTCGCCAGCCGACATTGCTTGGCCGATGGCACCCTGAGAAGTCCCTCTCTGTGTGAGTGGACTGGCCGGTGGGAGGCTTTTGGTGGCAGAAGGCAGTCTCACAAGTACCCGGGTCCTAAGCCATGGAACGCTTTAAAGGTGGTAACCAACACCTTGAATCGCACCCAGAAGACCACTGGGAGCCAGTGCAGCTCGCGCAGGAGGGGTGTCACATGGGCGCAACGAGTCGCGCCCATAACCACCCATGCGGCCGTATTCTGGACCAGTTGGAGCCTCCGAGTGCTCTTCAAGGGGAGCCCCATGTAGAGAGCATTGCAGTAGTCCAGTCGTGAGGTGACAAGGGCATGAGTGACCTTGCGCAAGGCATCCCGATCCAGAAAGGGCTGCAACTGGCGGATCAGGCGAACCTGATAAAAAGCCCCCCTGGCCACGACCATCATATGCACTTCTAAAGACAGCCGTGCATCCAGGAGGACACCCAGATTGTGAGCCCTCTCTGTGGGGGGCAAAGATTCACCCCCAATAGTCAGCGATGGCACCTGCTGACTATATTGGGACGCCGGCAGCCACAGCCACTCGGTCTTGGAAGGGTTGAGTCTGAGCCTGTTTCTCCCCATCCAGACCCGCACGGCCTCCAGGAGCGGGACATCACATCTTGACCCCCCTCTTCTCTGTGGCAGCCCCTCAAATATTGGACCACTGCTATCATGTCTCCCCTGGTCCTTCTCTTCACTAGACTAGCCATGTCCAGTTCCTGCAATCGTTCATTGTATGTTTTAGCCTCCAGTCCCCTAATCCTCCTGGTTGCTCTTCTCTGGACTCTTTCTAGAGTCTCAACATCTTTTTTATAGTGTGGTGACTAAAACTGGATGCAGCAGGGGTGAAATCCAACAGGTTCTGACAGGTTCTGGAGAAGTAGTGGAAATTTTGAGTAGTTTGGAGAACCGGTAGTAGAAATTTTGAGTAGTTTGGAGAACCGGCAAATGCCACCTCTGGCTGGCCCCAGAGTAGGGTGGGAATGAAAATTTTGTAATATTCTTCCCCCAGACTGGGGTGGGAATGGAAATTTTGCAGTATCCTTCCCCTGCCACGCCCAGAAAGCCACACCATGCCCAGAAAGCCATGCCCACAGAACCAGTAGTAAAAAATATTGGATTTCACCACTGGGATGCAGTATTCTAGGCGTGGTCTTACTAAGGCTTTATATAGTGGTATTAGTACCTCACTTGATCTTGATTGTATCCCTCTGTTAATGCAACGTAGGATTGCATTGGCTTTTTTGGCTGTCGCTGCACACGGCTGGCTCCTATTTAGATAGTTGTCCACTAAGACTCCAAGATCCCTCTCACAGTCACTGCTGATAGGGCTCAGGGTTCAAGTCTGTCAAGATCCATCTGGATCTTCAGCCTATCTTTATTTTATTTTATTTTATTTTATTTTATTTTATTTTATTTTATTATTTTATTTTATTTTATTTTATTTTATTTTATTTTATTTTATTTTATTTTATTTTATTTTATTTTATTTTATTTTATTTTATTTTATTTTATTTTATTTGTCAAGTACATATTAGATAATATATACTGCTCAAAAAAATAAAGGGAACACAAGCAGAAGACATCAGAGATCTGAACGAATGAAATAGCCTTATTAAATACTTTGTTCTTTACATACAGTAGTTTATACACTGCTCAAACAACTAAAGGGAACACAAAATTAACTTGGGTTAACTTGGGTTAAAGAATGGATTCTACGGAGAAATACAAGACTATTGACTTTGGAAGGACATGATTTGCAACTAGGCTGGCATGCTTTCTTATGGTATAGAAAGTTAAATGAGAGATAAGACAAAAAAGAAATAGAAACTCAGATGACCCCAGAGTAAATGGAAAAGGGGGATGGGGGGGGAGAAAGAAGATTATAAATATAAATGTACAATTATAAAATGATAGACTGGGTAAAATGGGAAATAAATTGAAAAGAAAGCATATATTATTAGAATATTGGAGTTGCTCGGATACCAAATATTGCTCGGATACCAATATTGCACAACAAGGAGAAAGAAAGGAGAGAAGAGTAAAGGGATAGAGGAGGAGAGGGGGAGAGAAGAATGGAAGAAAGGGGAAGGAGAGGAAGAAAGGATAGGGGACAAGAGCAGGAGAGAAGGCGAGAAAGGGGGAAAAGAGGGGAGGAGTGGGGGAGAGAAAGGGGAAGTAGGGAAGAGGAGAGGAGGAGGAAGAAAGGAGAAGAGGAGAGGAGGGAGGGAGGGGAAAGAAAGAAGGAGAAGAAGGTTTGTTGTGAAAAGAGGGAAAAGAGAGTGTAGAAGAGCAATCCCAAATGTAATTAAAATTTCTTATTTTTATGCTTTCGTTAGAAAAAAATATGTATATATACGATCAATTATGGATAAGAGAATGTACATTTACAATATGTGTATAAGATTGGGTGTCCCCCAAGGCAGCATTTTAGGACCTACACTCTTTATACTTTATACAAATGATCTTTGGATCATATTATAAGATTATTGCATCTATTGATTTACCCTGGTCGAGTTTTGAAGTCCATATGTTTTTGCAATGTAATAGTTGCAGATTGCAGGACAATTTTTTTCTAAAGCCAAATTGCTTGTTAGAGAGTAGGTTTTTAGTCTCTAAGTAGAGGGTAATGGATTGGTTTATGATTGATTCCATGACTTTGCAGGTGACACAACATAATGAGATTGGTCTGTAATTGTCAACTAGGCTGGGATCACCCTTTTTGAAGATAGGGATGACCGTGGCCAGCAACCATAAGTTAGGTAAGGAGCTGGTTCTGAAAGATATTTCGTAGATTATGCTAAGTGGTTCTGCTATGGTGGTTGAGAGCTTCTTTAGGAGGCATCTAATCCATCAGGGCCAATCGATAGAGATGGTTTTAGGTTGCGTAATGCCTTTTCAACGGCATCTTCTGTGAAATCGACATGTAGTAGATCGTTGTGAGTAGTTGTGGTACAATTGGGAAATGAGAGGCATGAGCCATTGCTGTTTACAAAGACTGAACTGAAGAATGTGTTGAAGAGGTTGGCCTTAACACTTTCATCATTACAGTCTTTCCCTTTTGGTCCTTTTCGTGGTGAGTTGGATCTTGAGTCTTTATGTTTGTTGTTTACGAAATTGTAGAAGGCCCGGGTGGATTTAGTGCGTATTAGGTTTTCCTCTTGTTTGCTGTGATAACTGATGCATTCTGCCTTTATCTATCATACGGTTTTGTAGTGACCTTTGAAGTTAGTTACGTAGTCAGTTTTGTTTTTGCACCAAAGAGGTTTTTTTTTTTAGTCTGAAGCTTCCTTATTGTTATGGGTAATTTATTTTTCCTGGTTTTGGGAATAATTAGTCACTGTCGGAAAAGGGTTCTTTTATTTGTAGTCAATAAATTGAATTTAAACTGTTGCAGAAGATGAGATCAAGACAGTTGTTGAGTCTAGTGTTATTAGTTACTAGTTGATCTAGTCCCAGATTAGTTACAACATTGTACAGAGTTGCATGTATGGGTTCAGTTGTACATTCATTTAGGGTCCAAATAAATTAAATCTAAATGCGTTTGCATGTCTTAGAAGTCCACCTATTTCCCCATCTTGACTGTGTGTTGTGACACACACAATTCATAAAGACTGAATTCTTCCAGACAGTCACTGGAACAGAGGGAAAAGGGTTCTTGTTAACAAGTTCATTCAATTTCTCTTTCAAACAAAGCTATCTTGATATTTGAGATACTATTTTTCAATTACATACAGTACTCATAGCAAGGACATATATCTATCTATGGAACGATTCTTGGAAATGATTCAAGTCCTTAAACAACATACTATCATCTGCATATAGAAGTACAAGACATTTGTCTTCTCAAATAACCAATTTTTAAACCATTTCCTGACCTCTAATCTGTAATTTCATTAAACAAATCAGGGAGCATCATATAACAGTCTCTTCCTCCCTTTAATTAAATATATGAACGAATTATTTAATTATTTCTTCAAGAAAGAACAAGTCATGATGTATTCATCTATCTATCTATCTATCTATCTATCTATCTATCTATCTATCTATCTATCTATCATCCATCCATCCATCCATCCATTCTTCTCAACAATAGTAGGACAGAATAATCAATGTATGAAAAGCAGGGGCAGGAAAATATCAATAATATTACTGATCACATGATTTATGAAAAGATATTTTTCTCAATTAACAGAAATTAAACAGTGTGGTTCATATAAACTCTATACCTTTTTAGAAATCTATTGAAACAAAGAAGCTTAAAAACACCAGAAGTGAACACAACAAAACACATTTTTACACCCAATCAGATTAAAATAAAAGAGAGGGTAACATCTATGTTGGAAAGGAATAACAACATCTTTACATTATTATTGTTTATTTCCAAGTTGATCATGGGGTCTCCCTGGGGAGAATTGGCATCAATGAAAAATAAAAGGCTAGGCATTTATTGCTGATTGATAGAAACTTTGTGATTAGTACATCACTTGATTTCCAATTATTTAATGAAAATGCACTTCTGTCATTTCATCAAACACATTGATTAAAAAAATCAAACATAAAAATGTCAAAATTAAACATACATCCCCACATACATCAGAGATTCTTGTGCCTCATTATATTTTCTTTACAATTCAGACTGGGCCTAAGTAGGATAATGTAGCATTTGGGGAAAAAGATACAAGCCAAGAGACCAGACCCAGAGGCCAAGATGGAGAAGATCTCCACGGCCACCATGGACTTCCCTTTGGTGCTCAGGTAGGTGGGAAGGAAGCTGATCCAAACACTGCAAAAGACCAACATGCTAAAAGTAATGAACTTGGCTTCATTAAAGCTGTCGGGCAATTTCCTGGCCAAAAAGGCCATCATGAAACTGACACTGGCCAGGAAACCCATGTAGATGAGGACAGTGTAAAACATGGAAGCTGAACCTTCATTACATTCCAAGATGGCCTCTCCTACCAAGGAATGAAAGTCCAAGTTGGGAAATGGGGGAGAGGTTACCAGCCAGATGGTGCAAATAATTGCTTGAATCAGGGGACAGGCTAAAACAATGGAATTGGTCAGTGGTTTTCCTAAGAATTTTCTCATCCTGTTTCCAGGCTTGGTGGCCATGAAGGCCAGAACCACCATGACAGTTTTTGCCAAGACAGAGGAAACCGCAAGGGAAAAGAGAATGGCAAAGGCAGATTGTCGAAAAAGACAGGTGAGCTTCCCTGGTTGACCAATGAAAAGAAAGGAACAGAGGAAGCAGAACAGGAGGGAGACCAGGAGGATGTAGGTGAGATCTCGGTTGTTGGCCTTGACAATCGGTGTATCGTGATGCTTAAGGAAAACTACCAGGACTAAAGCTGTGGTCACAGAGAGAAAAAGAGTGAGAGATGTTAATGAGTAGCCCAGGGGGTCTTGATAGGAAAGGAAGTGGAGCTTCTTGGCAATGCAGTGGTCCTTGTCCTTGTTGGGATATTGGTCTTCTGGGCAAGGATCACAGAGAGCTGCATCTGAAATCAAGAGTCGGTGTGAATTTCATGATGAATCAACAAAGACAAATCATCCATCCATATTGACAATGCTGGGAATAAATTAGCCAGAAAAACTGATCTGTTCTCGGCTCAACTTCTCTGCTTTATTCTTCAAATCCAGTCATTCAATCTTTTTCCTTAGTAGAAAGTCTATAAATTTTGCCGTGAAAAAACCTGATATTAAATTGTTGGGGAGCAGGAAAAGTGGCCTTTGGGGTTGCACAGCTTAGATTCATGAACTGAGAGGGTCTGCTGAATATATGAATATATTGAATCATATAAAGCCTCCTACCAAAACTGATGCCAAAATTAATATTTTCCCATTGAATGACTTCCTTGAAGATCTACACTTGACGTGTGCTGTACCTGTCTGATTAGAAATGGTCCCTTCTGGACAAGGGTCACATTGGTAGCAGCAAACTTCCTTGCCTTCTGGAACGCTCTTCCTCTCTCCTGCATGGCACCTCTTCACGCCACACCTGGCAAAGGGCACCTTCTAGAAGAGAAATATTTGAGATGGCCTAAGTAATAAACATGCTTCATTTGTCTATTTCTGCATTTCTGTTTCCTTCTTTAGAATGTCTTCAAAAGAAACGGTTTACCAGGGCCTACCAGAGGGATAAGCTCCAGGGGGAGTCAGGCCAGTGGCAATCCTGACCCTCCAGAATGGATGCTGGAGATTGGAACAGAGACCTCAAAATGAAAGGAAGGCTTGTGACATGGAGCTACAGCTTTTCTAAAAGAAAGAATCGTCAGGATCCAACTGAATGGGAATCATTTTTGCTTTAATGGGCTCCTGGGTTCCAAGCAGGAGTTCTTCCCAATCACACCCCATCTTGAACTTTTCAGAAGTCAAATTTCAAATGTGTTAAACTCAAAAGCAGGTTTTTCATTAAATCCCTGAATTTTTTTCTGACTGAATAGATCTATTTCCCAATTAAAAGGGGGTTATGCATCCCCTGGAGTGAATTAATCCTTTGCTGAATTTATAACATTTCCTTCCAACTCACCTTTGTGACCCAGATGATTTCATCAGAGTTAATGGTAAAATCTTGTCCTGGGGAAGCCATGAGATCTATTTCTCCAACTTTGGTGGTGACAAAAGATTGATTAGGGAGGAAAAGCCAGTTGAGAAGATCGTAACGAGAAGAAACCAATCCACTTTCTGAGAAGGAGACTTCCTCTCCAGCACTGTTGTTGAACTTGACGTTCCTCAGATAGGGAAGAAGCTGAAAGAAAAGACACCCAGATTAATTGGCTGAACACCACACATGAGACACCCTGGTTTCTATCATAATGTGATCGCCATCAGCCTAAGAGATGGGTCTATACCTGAGAAGCTAAATGAATTCCCTTGATGGAGATCTAAGCAATCAGAAGTAACATCAGATATTCGACTCCATCCTTAAAATGATGACACATTCTCTTTATCATTGGACATTTGAACCATGGCTTCTTCAATGGCATAATAAAATAATAATATGACATAAAATGGCATAATAAAAAATGGGGTGGAGTCACAAAGAATTCTAAGCCACAGTAACGTTGAAATGTATTGAGTATCTTTTTATAGAGTGGATTCAGGCTACTGACTGAGAGAAAGTGAGGAGGTTCTACAAAAAATATTTTTAATAATTGCTGTCTTAATCCCTTCTTAGATACATTGATAGCACACAGATATTTAATCAGTAATTCAAGAAATGCATATAAGGAGTTTCCTACCTAGAGATCTCTGGACTAGATAAAAACTCACTGAGATTACCTGCCATGACTGAATATTTGAGATCCTCTTTCTGAGCCTCATTGTGGTTGGTTGTCCTCCAGATCCATATATTGCATGCAATGCGTGTCCCACAGCATAAACAGCATTGTAGATATTGTAACTTTCACCTTCCATGCTTGTTTCAAATAAAAAAGATGGTAGATTCTGTAAATTCTCTTTTCCTGTACATTTCTTTCCCCAGTTTCGAGTGATTTTGCCTGGTTTATAGAACCTGCAGCCAAACAACATTTCCCAACATTGCAGGAGAAAGAGGTCCCCTTGTGGCTTCAAGGGATCTAAAGACAGGAGGAAATGACTGAATTCTGAGACATCCCCAGTGTGGGGCCGAAAATGCAGAGCCCCATGGAAGAGCTTTACTGTTTTCATGATGTCTTGATTCCTGGCCACAGTAAGTTTCCAATGGGAAGTTAAGATCCAAACTTTCCAAAATGACATCTTCCTCAAATGTTTATATACACTGATTGCCACCTGTACATTTTTGATACTATTGGAATCTCCAAATAGAACAATCACTTCAGCTTTAGACCAAGTCTCCACAATATGAAGTAATTTCAGCATTGTAGTATCAAGAAAATCTGATTTCATTATTTCAGTGAAGGCCAAACACACCTCTTTCTCCTTCAGCATTGGCATCAGAGATGAGACGAAACGTTCTCCACTGTCATCTTCAGGGGCCAGAAGACCAACCCAGTTCCACTGGAAATACAGGAGCAGCTGGACTAAACCCACACACTCAGCAAAATCACTGGGATTAATCCGGAAGAAGGAAGGATAAATTATTCTGTCTCCCTGAGTGAACTCAAAGCCAACACCAAGCTGGAGAAAGTGAGATTCTTGAGAGAGTAAATTTTAGGAGTCATAATTATGTGGATTATGTCAGAAGCCAAGGGAACGATACATCAAATCAATACAGAGAATATATTACACTACACTCTTACAAAGAATAGATTACGAAGGAATTCCTCTTGGCAAGTACCACATTTCAAAGTTATCTGACCTATCACTTTTGGCTTCTATAAAAACATATCATGACACAAAAAATATAACTATATGTCCCCCAAAACTCCTCCTTTGTTTTCCACCTTTGGCTTCTGGGTGTGCTTCAGTTGTTTTTGTACTCTATACTGTATCCAGGGAAGCCCCCTTACCTGTGGGACCTTGAAGAGGCTGAAGATGGAGGCCATCTGCCTTGAGGATCTGGGATTGAGATCTCCAATGACAGAGAGAAGAGGGTCCTTCATGTCGCATTTGTACCCTGGAACCATTCGGTCTCGGGTGGAGAGCAGGGAGAGGCTGTTTGAGCAAATCTCCACCTCAGTCTGAGAATTGCTATAGATGTGGAAGCCAAGGGTGATGTTGGGGAGGAGAAGCAGATCCTTGTTGACCTCGCTGACTGCAAATACCAAGGCTCTGAACTGCTGGTAGTTCTTGGGTACGACTCTACCGTGAGAAAATCATTGGGGAAATTTTAAGGAAATCTTGTGGGTGCTGGTGGATTTTTTAACAAATGTTCTTTGGAGCAAGAAATTTCAAAGTCCATGGGGTTTGATTCATTGTTAAGGCTGTTCCTTGATTAATGGCCTTGAGAGAAAGGAGAAAATCCTGTTTCTCCATTCCACAGATCATTTGATACCCCTCCATCAGCCCCCCCTTCCTTCACTTTGCTTCAGTGATGGTAATCCTTCCCTCTTCCATCCCAATTAAATTCTTTCCCTCTTGAAGCAGCTTCTTCAGGTCTGGAAACCATGGTTGAGCACAAGACAGATGGATTTTTTTACTCCTCCACAACACTTTCAATGGGTTTGACCTCATCATTGAGTTTTCCATCAGGAGTTTCTGTCCAAATTTATATTGTAAGTCAACTTCTTCACTAGGCCAGCAGAGTTTCTACGGTGTTGTCCTTCCTGACTTTTTTGGTGGTTTATTTGCTTCCTGATCAAGAGTTCTGGAAAGATGGAGAATTCTAGCCTATTTTATGAGTTTGGTTCTTTATTGAGAAAAGCACAAAGATCTGAACTATGGTAGGACATTGCAAACGTCACTAGAACAAGTATTTCTGAAAAGAGTCCCTGAATATAAAGCAAAGCAATAATTATTTACATCTTTCCCCTTTGGGTGAAACTTACAAAATATTCTCCAGAAGTAGAGATGGGTCTTTTTGAAAGGATTGGAAGTAGAATTTAAGTGCAGTTCCCAGGGGAACACTCCCAGCAATGATGAGATCACCAGGCCTGTAAAAGTCTCTCGTAGTGTGTACAGTATTTGTCAACACACACCCAGTTTGCTTCCTCTTAGTAGACATTAGAGAAGTTGGAGGCAGGAGCCAGAAGAGCAGCAGTAGGAGGAAGAGAGGCAGCCCAGTCATTCTTCTCCCCTTCCCCTCTAGATCAGCAATCAAGAGGTTATTTTTTTTGTAGAAGTCGAATCTCAGCAAGGATTTGAAATCACAGCAGAGCTTTAGCACAAGAGAAATAATCTGTGCTACCTGGATGGCCCCAAGGCCAATTTAGATCCAGCCATGTTTCGTCTTACCTGTGTCTGGTTTATGAGCAAAGAGGAAACTGAGGCCAGCTGAGTCTAAACAAACCCAGGAGTTGGTTCTTTGCAACACAAGGCAAGGTGACATGTCCTGCCCCCACCAGGAGAACTCTGAGTATCTAATTTAAATAGCTTTTATCTCAGAAGATTTTTTTTTTCTGTAGAAATCCATAGGGGATACATTAGAAATTACTGTTCTTCTTATAATTGCATGGAAAAGCAATTGTTCTATTTACTGAGCAATAGCTACTCTTCATACAGCAGATGGAGAAAAGTGAGTTTGGGTCTCCTGTTGTTAATCCCCAGATCAGATGCAGTTGAGAGTCAAGGTGAACTTGGGCATTTGAGTTATGTGGAACTGAGCCTTAAGAGATTGACAGAGTTGGAAGGGAGTTTGTAGGTCATCCAGTCCAACCCCCCTGCCCAACCAGGAGACCCTACACCATTTCTGACCAATCTGTTCTTGAAAGTTTCCAGGGATGAAGCTCCCACAACTTCCGAAGGCAACTTCTGTTCCATTGGTTGATTGTTCTCATTGACAGAAAATTCCTTCTTATTTCCAGGTTGAATCTCTCCTTGATCAGTTTCCATCCATTATTCCTTGTCTGGCCTTCAGGTGCCTTGAAAATAGGTTGACCTGCTTCTCTCTGTGACAGCCCCTCAAATATTGGAACAGTGCTCTCATGTCTCCCTTGGTCCTTCTCTTCACTAGACTAGCCAGGCCCAGTTCCTGCAACTGTTCATTTTATGTTTTAGCCTCCAGTCCCCTAATCATCCTGATTGCTCTTCTCTACAGCTTTTCTAGAGTCTCAACAACTTTTTTATAGTGTGGTGACCAAAACTAAATGCAGTATTCTAGGTGTAGTCTTACTAAGACTTTATAGGGTAGTATTAGTATCTCATTTGATCTTGATTGTATCCCTCTGTTAATGCAATTTAGGATTGCATTATTTATTTATTTATTTATTTATTTATTTATTTATTTATTTATTTATTTATTTATTTATTTATTTATTAATTAGTTCAATTTATATGCTGCCCTCCTCCGGAGACTCAGGGCGGCTTACAATGCGTTAAGCAATAGCCTTCATACTTTTGTATATACCTGCTTATTAGGGCTTTTGACCCCCCCCCAGAGGTGTTCTTTTTTATACAAAGTCAGTTTATTGCCCCCACAATCCGGATCCTGATTTTACCTACCTCGAAAGGATGGAAGGCTGAGTCAACCTTGAGCCTGGTGAGATTCGAACTTGCAGTAATTGCAGGCAGCTGGTGCTAATTAGCTTTTTTGGCTGCTGCTACACACTGCTGGCTCATTTTTAGCTGGTTTTTCACTAAGATTCCAAGATCCCTCTCACGGTCACTGCTTTTAGGCCTGGTTTCCCCCAGTTTATATCTGTGCTTTTGGTTTTTCTTACCTAAGTGTAAGACTTTACTTTTCTCTACGTTGAATTTCATTTTGTTAGATAGGGCCCAGGGTTCCCGTCTGTCAAGATCCATCTGAATCTTAAGCCTATCATCTGTTGCTGCTACCTTGGTATTATCCGCATGTGCGCACAAGATGGAGTCTGGCCTCTTCCATAGTTTGTTTGACTAGTATAAGTGTTCATGGAGCATGGTGACAGTTGACAATCAGTTGTACGCCGAAAAGATGAAATATGTTTAACAGAAAACTTTCTTTCTACATAGGGCACTAGGACTCCATGTGGACAACTGGAAGGCATAGGATGAAAATAGTTGCATGATTGTTGGTGATAAAAAGTTTACTTTACTTCATTTACTTATTCAATTTCTATATCTGCCCACCTCAGACAAGTGACTCTTATTGTAACCAGTTATAACATTTAATAAGGCATTATTCAATGGACATGTTCACTTTCTCTGTTATCATATTTTAGAAAAGTCATTAGATAGTAAACATGCCTCAAAATTTTTTTAAAGTGTTTCCCATATGTGCATCTGTTAGAGATTCTTGATCCTTATCATATTTTCCTTACAGTTAAGATGCGGCCTTAATAGAATAATGAAGCATTTGGGAGAAAAGATGCAAGCCAAGAGACCAGCCCCAGAGGCCAAGATGGAGAAGATCTCCACGGCCACCATGGACTTCCCTTTGGTGCTCAGGTAGGTGGGGAGGAATGAGATCCAAACACTGCAAAAGACCAGCATGCTGAAAGTAATGAATTTGGCTTCGTTAAAGCTGTCGGGCAATTTCCTAGCCAGAAAGGCCACAGAGAAACTGACACTGGGCAGGAAACCTAGATAGGCCAGGACAGCATAAAACATTAAAGCTGAGCCTTCATTACATTCCAAGATGGTCTCTCCCACTAATGAGTGGAAGTCCAAATTGGCAAATGGGGGAGAAGTAACCAGCCAGGTGGTGCAAAGAACTGCTTGGACCAGGGGACAGGCTATGACAATGGAGTTAGTAAGTGATTTTCCTAAGAGTTTCCTTGACTTGTTTCCTGGTTTGGTGGCCATGAAGGCCAGAACCACCATGACAGTTTTTGCCAACATGGAGGAAACTGCGAGGGAAAAGAGAATGGCAAAGGTGGTTTGTTGGAAGGGACATGTGAGTTTCCCAGGTTGTTCAATGAAGAGGAAGGAACATAAGAAGCAGAGCAAGAGAGAAACCAGAAGAATGTAAGAGAGATCTCGGTTGTTGGCCTTGACAATTGGTGTATCACGATGCTTAAAGAAAATCGCCAGAACTGCTATTGTGATCACAGAGAGAGAAAGAGCGAGAGAAACTAAGGTGTATCCCAAGGTCTCTTGATAGGAAAGGAAGTGGAGCTTCTTGGCAATGCAGTGGTCCTTCTCCTTGTTGGGATATTGGTCTTCTGGGCAGGGGTCACAGTGGGCTGCATCTGAAATCAAGAGTCCTTGCTGAAGTATTTTATGGGCATCCACAATGACCATTATCCCTCTCACCAAGGGTCTCGAGTGTGACTTCCTTCTACAAGGACCAACTCAAAAAGAAACTGGTCCACTTACATGCCTGAAAATGGCAAATCATCCTGGTTCAAAATGAGCCTGTGTCAGGGACTGTGTAAAATCTGTCACAAATGACAACCCCTCCCCCTCTATTTTAATCCTAGAACTAAGGAGAAATTTCCTGACAGTTAGAACAATTAATCAGTGGAGCAACTTGTCTCCAGCTCCAACACTGGAAATTTTTAAGACGATGTTGGATAACCATTTGTCTGAAGTGGTGTAGGGTTTCCTGCCTAAGCAGGGGGTTGGACTAGAACAGCAGTCACCAACTGGTGGTCTGTGGAAAAAAATATTTGCAATTTTTTATATTACACTAAATCAGGGCTCCTCTAACTATGGCCCCCGGGCCAGATATGTGCAATGAACGTTTGTGTTGCTGCAGAGAATCTCCCCCTTCAGGGTCTTTTTGTGCTGGTTGGAGGGGGGCAGAAATTCTGACTTGGGGTCTGCCTCAGCCTCCTGGTGTGGGGCTTTGGGTGAAGGCTGGAAGGAAGTGCCAGGAGCCGGAGGGCCTTGTTCCTGTGGGACTGCCTCATGGCCTGGAACTGGCTGAACATCTCAGCCTGTTGAGTCTCCAGGTGCTGGTACCTGGCCTTGCACTCCTGCAGGTCTTCCCTCTACTCGGAAAGCCTATGCTCCTAGTCTTGAGTGAGTGCTTCTGTTGAGCCTCCTTCTCAGTCAGATCCAATTTGAACTGATCCAACTGTTTTGCCAACTCTTTCCTGTGGTGGAGCCCGGGCAGGGAGGTGAGGAGTGGCTGGCAGGAGAAGGGTGCGTAGAGGCTGGTGAGGTCCCCTCGATTGAGTGACATTGAGTTGGCCATTGAGTTGGCCATTCCCACCCAGTCACATGACCACCTAGCCACGCCCACCCAGCCGGTCATTAGGCAGATCATATTAGATCATACATACATACATACATACATACATACATACATACATACATACATATATTATTTATTATATTTATTTTTGATAAAGAACTAAAGGGAGACTATTATAGATCTATTTCAAGCTTTTTAGCTTTCATCAGCTAGTCATAACCTCTGAGCCACAAGTTCTCCTCCCTTTATCAGCTGAGCCAGGGGAGAGATTAAGTGTTTTTCTGTGGAAGTACCTGGTCTGCCCCAATGTGGGAGGGAGCATACTGCTTCCCTTTCGCCTTTCAGTTCCAATCCAGGAGCCCTCAAGCAGTCGCATTCATGACAAACCATTTTGGATTGGAAAACCCCTACATAATTGGAGTGCTGCGCTCCTGTGAAACAGACAACAAATGGTCAAAATAGGGAGCATCCTATCAACTCCTGCACCTGTTAATAGTGATGTCCCCCAAGGCAGCATTCTAGGACCACCACTCTTCACACTATACATAAATGACCTTTGTGATCATATTATAAGCAACTGCGTTCTCTTCGCTGATGATGTAAAAATATTTAACACCACCGACAATGCTGCTACCCTTCAAAAAGACCTTGACTTTGTGTCAGAATGGTCAAACAATTGGCAACTCCAAATCTCAACCAACAAATGCTCCGTCTTACATATTGGCAAAAAGAACCAGAACACAAAATACAATCCAAGTGGACATGACCTTGTAGATGACCCTCACTCTGTCAAGGACCTTGGAGTACTCATATCTAATGATCTAAGTGCCAAAGCCCACTGTAACAACATTGCCAAAAAGGCATTAAGAGTTGTAAACCTAATCTTGCGTAGCTTCTTCTCCGGTAATATCACATTACTAACCAGAGCATACAAAACATTTGCTAGACCAATTCTCGAATACAGCTCATCTGTCTGGAACCCGCACTGCATATCTGACATTAATACAATTGAGTGCGTCCAGAAATATTTCACAATAAGAGTCCTCCACTCCTCTGCTTGCAATCTTATGCCACCAGACTTGAAATTCTAGGCTTAGGAAACTTAGAACTATGCCGCCTTCGGTATGACTTAAGCATAGCACATAAAATTATCTACTACAATGTC